GGGCGCGGCTGGCGCGGTCCTGGGAAGGCTGACGGGTGGTAGGCTTTCTGCAGGGTGCCTGGGGGCCTCCGTGTCACCAGTCTTGGGCGTCAGCTTTGCCTGTGTTAAATCCGCCTTACCAGTCTTGGGCGTCAGCTTTGCCTGCGTTAACTTTGACTTCAGGAGTGCCATTCTCTGTCTAGAGAGTTGGGGAAGGGAAATCCTCTGCAAACTTAACGAATTAATTATCTCCTTATCTACAAAATAAAGAAATATTGTTGTCATTTTTCTGAGGCTCCACAATGCTGGGTTTTTTTGCTAAATGGTGAGGGCATTTGCTGCTTTTGTGGTGGTAATGGAAAAGTTGCGTGGGTTTTGTTGGCTATGCGCTCCAGCAACACAGCACAAGGAAATACAACGCCCTCTGACCTATCTTAGTTTCACACTTTCGCTTTCCAGCTCCAGTAGTTAGTGAAATGAAACTGTAGGTTTTCATTCCCTTCGCGCTGAGGATCCAAATGGTTATGTGCTTAAGTAGCATATGTTATCTGTCTACGAGTGGCTGTTTGGTCAGCAGTAGGTGAAGATAGTTTTCATGGATTTGCGATCCATGAGGATATAGTGTGTATACATTAATAACAAGCCACATCCCAGTCCAAGCCGGTGTGCCCTCTTTCGTGAATGCAGTCGTTGTTTACAGGTACGCCTTTCAAGATCCTATCTGTAGAAAAGAATTGGGTGGGAATGTCTTGCCAACCTTAACCAACTTGTCAAGAGCCACATAAGAACTGTGTAGTGGTGCCATCTCTGCTAACAACCACCTATTGTATAAACATGTGCAATGTCAGGTACATGGTGTTTTGTCATGGCAGAAATACGCTGCTGCTTGTAATAACTGGTTATCCAGATACTAGTTTTGATAAACAGAAGAGCTGCAAAAGGCACAATGGTAATTCTGTTCTGACACTTGATAACCACATAAGTGACTTCTTGAAAACGTAGTTGAGAGTAATTTAGTTGCTTGGTTCAAGTCCACTTTTTTTTTTTTCTTGGCAAAGTGTATTTTTAGTTTTACATCAGTAATTTTTGGCAGTAATTGTTAAGATTTCAGGAACGTCACAAATCTGAAACTGCAGCTGGATCCACAAATTGACAGAGGCTGTTGCTTGTTATGGCCTTGCCTTGGCTATCACAAATATTATAGCAAATGTATTTCTTGTGTTTCTACTCTCCGTTCCTTTGTCTGTCTAAATTGCTTAGAATACAGCCTTTTTAGAAAGTGGTGTTTTTCTCACTCTAGAACTGTATTTTATAGAGCATAGTATTATTCAGTTTGTGTGGAGTCTTAAAATTGTGTTTCACAGTGATCAATACTATGAATTATTGATCTCCGTCATTCTGGACTTATTTAAGCATTTGTGAAAAAAGTTCTGGAATTCATATTTCACAATTTTTACTTTTCTTACTGAAGTAGAAGTCCAGGGCTAAAGTGAGGCAGAATGTATAGGATCTTGTTTTCTAGTTATGTATCAATCCAACAGCCATAGAAGTGCAAGGAGCAGGACATCACCAGAGCTGGTTGTCATACTTCGTAGGGTGAGAAATTGAGTAGTGCTTGTACTGGGTTTATTTATGAAACAGTCTTTTCTAAGTATGTTTTGGGACAATCATCAGGCAAAGTTGTATACGTTTTCTGAAGTTTGCATTCAAATGAGCCTATTAAAACAATCTGTATTTCATGTTAACCTCTCCGGTTAGTGCAAAGCTTTCTCATTTCTGGGAAGTGACTTTCTGCCTGCCTCACTCATTCTGTGGTCTCATTATAGAGTGGTTGGCACATCAGAAGTCATACTGGAGGTGATTGTAATGAACAAATACTGAGTTTATGATACCATTAATTGAATTGGGCAGAAAGAAAACGGTTAGGAAAAAATGCTGTTCAGGCAGCTTAAGGTAAAAGTATTTTTTGGAAGTGCAAGAGCAATTCTTAATCATGTAGGAAAGACTCAGTCACGTTTTGGCAAATCTGAAGCTTTTCACAGCCACAGCTACCATTTGTTTTCAAATGCTTTGTGTTTGAGATGTTTATTTAGAAAAAAATTGCTATAAATTATGGTAAAAGAGAAGAAAACTACAACACCTCTAACATTAGTGTTGTGTGGTTTATCCTAAATTATTTAGTTGGAAAATTTTCACGGATATAAATCACTTAATTGTTTCTTTTAAACTGATTTGTTGTAAACCTGCTTTTTCCTCTACATGTTGTAGTTCTTATCAGAAATAATGCATCCTAAAGAACAGAATTATTTGACATCAGTCTTCCTTTCTTTGACATTGTATTTGGAAAAGTAAATATAGATTTTTAAAGTGTCTAAAAAGAGACTAAAAATTCACCTTGTCTGTGAGTTAAATTAGAATCTAGTGCTTCCTACCTAATCATCAGAATGTGCCCGTGTAGGTTTTCATTATTTTGTCCCTCTCCCCACATATATAAATAAGCTACATAAACAAAGAGGGAGAGGGGAGAAAGCTCACTTTACTGGAGGAAGTCAATATATTAACATTGTTTATGCAGTATACTGACGAAAGTATAATGAACAAATATAAAAATTTATTGTTATAATAGGCATGCAGGAAGCAGATGTATCACAATTTGAAGTAACTGAAATGCACTGACAGTAGTTTTATATAGACCTTTTTCTCAACACTCCCATCCTTTTAAATCTATATTAAAATTGTGAAATGGTCTAGAATCAAAATTTGAGGAACGTGAGTTAGAATCGGCATGTCAGTTCAGACATGAGAGGTAAAGGATCTGGCTATCTGTGAATAGCTTGAGAGGAAGCTCTACTCGGTGGGGTGAGATAGGAAGAACAGAATAGAAAGTAGTCTATTATATGCTGCCTTTCAAAGCAGTGATGATGATTGCTTGAGTATTACACTCTTTTCTGTTTCTTTCAGAAAAGATACAGAAGAAGATGGTGAAAAATTTCTTGAGTATGGGACCTTTTTTTGCATAGTTCCAACTTAATTGTGGAACTTAACACCAAAGGTATGGGTTTTGGGGTGTGTATTTGGTTTTGGTTTGGGTTTTTTTAATTATTAAAGTGAATAATGTCATGCAAGCCAAAGTTAGTCATTGAGTTGTAAAAATTCGGGATATATTTCCATCATAGGCATTCTTACTGTTTTCTCCAGAATCTCTCTCACTAGTTATTGCTCACACATTATACTTAGTAGGTCACTCGGAAACAAGTATGTCAGTACTTATCTCTCTGTTTTATTTCTTGAGCTGTTATTTCCCCTTCTGAGGAAGCACTGTGAAGTCATGGAATCTCTGCTGCTCTGGTAAGATGGAAAACAGATGGATTCCTCAGCAGTCAGCAGTGTTTCTAGCTGCCTCTGTTATTTTTGGCCTCTGTGTTTCTGTCAGTCTGCATGATTTCCCCTTAATAAATCCATGCTGACTACTCGCAATCACTTTCTTGTCCTTCATGTGTTTGGAAACAGTTTCCAGGATTATTGGCTCCACCTTCCCAGGGGTCAGGGTGAGGCTAACAGGCCTGTAGTTGCCTGGATCCTCCTCCTTGCCCTTGAAAACAGGGTTGACACTTTCTTGAGTCCTCTGGAACCTCGCCCATCAGCTTAAAACATTCAAGCATAATTGAGAGTAGCTTCACAATAACAGGGCCAGCTCTCTCAGCACTCATGGTGGCATCTCCTCAAGTCCCCTGGAACTGTTATGTCCAGTTTGTTTAAACATTGCTTAATGTGATCCTCCCTTGCTCAGTCTTTATTGCTCCAGGCTATCCCACTGGTCTCAAGGGCCTGGGATTACAGAAAGCAGGTCTTACCTGTAAAGAGCAAGGTGAAGAAGGTGCTTTGACCTTTTTAGTATCTTTTCACCTTTCGCGCCATTCAGCAACAGGCCTACATTTCCTGTAGCCTTCCTTACGCTGCTCATGTACATGTACAAGACTTTTCTTTTGACCTTCATATCCCTCACCAGATTCAACTCCAGGTCGACTTTGGCTTTCCTAACCTCATCCCTATACACCCAAGTGGTGTTTTTGTGTCAAGTGTGTGCACACACTTGATGTGGCCCCACTTCACCTCTGTTTTGTTGATGATCTCTATTGTCCACATCATAGGTCACCACCTCCATCTCCCATCATTCCTAGTTTAAACCTTCCCTCAGCGGGTTCACCAGCCTGTTGGCAAAGGTGCTTTTTCTGCACATAGTGTCAAGTGGATCCTCCCCCCCCAGTCCTATGCATGTAAAAGCTGAGTTCCAGCTTTTGACGCAAGCTGTAAAATGCAAGCTGGTTCCTTTCTTGTTGGCATGTGGGATCTGTCTGCTCCTCAAGATCTTCCCCTTCACCAGCAGGATGAAGGAGACACCACCTGGTCCCTAGGCCCTGGCCCTCATACTCCAAGCCACATAGTCATGCTTGATGCACTCCTGGTCTCCCCTGGCCATATCCATGGTGCCCATATGGAAGAGCAGCTGAGGGTAATAGTAGACTGCTACCAGCCTCAGTAAGAAGAGCCTGTCCATGCTATCCAGGAGCCAAGCCCCTGGCAAACAGGAAACCTTGCCAGGTGGCAGGTTGGGCTGGCAGAGCCACCTCTGTCCCCACAGCCGGGTCCCACCACTGTTCTTGCCCCACCCTGCCTTCACTGCCACTGGCAGGCACAGCCAGCTTGGGCACAGCCAGCTTGGAGGCTGCATTGGGCAGAGCTCCCTGTCTTTGCCTGCTGCCGGGGCTCAGAACCTGCTCTGGAGATCAGAGCTGCAAGCGGAGCAGGAACCGTCGTCCTGGTGCCGGAGCTCACAAGCGACCAGGCTTTGCCCAGCTCAGCATCTCCATGCCCAGCCTGACAAGCTAAGGCTCTGCCTGCACCTCCTTGGTGCAGTAAGGGTGCAGGTTCCTGTAGCTGCAGGGTCTTGGAGGAGATCTGGTCCATCTCCTTGTCAGCATCCCTGGTGATGTACAGTCTGCTCACCTCCTCCCACAGCTTCTCTGCTCAGTGAGACACATCCTCCAGCTGTGCACGCTTAGAAGAATATAGAATGGTTTTTAGTTCTAAACCTGCTGGTTGCCAAAGATAACTTACAACAGAGGCACAGTAAGAACTGGCAGATTCAGGAGCGTAATATTACATCATTTATATGTCTAGAAACTGTACATATGTGTGTAGTATATTAATACCAGGTATGCAACAGACTATGGTGCATGCATGCTACACAGACTAAAAGTAGAAGAATAGTAAATGTAGGCCCAAATAGTTTTTATGGTTATCATGAACTTAAAAAAAGTTTTAAGGGCACGACAGCTGTATTCAGTATACAACATAGGTTTACAAAACAAGCGTTAGCAAATTTGATGCATTTTTAGGATAAAAATAAGCACTTAATAGCTATACTTGAATAGGCCCTCTTGTACTAGAAGACAGCAAACAAAGGGTTATGATAAAGAGTGCATAGGAGAAGTGTGGAAAAAATTCAGATAGCTTATTTGGGTCTGATTTTGATTAGACATTTAGGCAAAAAAACCCCACCAAGACATTAATGAAATTTGCGGATAATTTTAAGCAGAAAAAATGTGAATTGAAGTGAGAATAGACAAACATGAAACAAGTAAGCAAAACCCCTGGAAGCAGAGATCTCTAACTGATAAACAAGGTAAAATTTCAATGTAACAAGTAGAAGCTAAAAGGAATGGAAGGAAATCCATCTGGAATGTACAAGTTCCCTGAAGCCCAGAAATCAGGGAAAACAGTGGGTAGGAGAGTAGCTTGGGGTTTATGGGTTGCAATATTAAGATGCTTACATGAAGGCAGCCTGCCAAAACAAGTAACAATAGTAATCCTTCCCTTGAAGGTCTTGCTGAATAATGCTTCTGACTTCTAGTGCCTCATTTTTGTGAAGATCAGTTTATGAAGCTCTGAAGTTCACACTGTAGGACTTGGTGGGTTTTCTTCAGTCTAAACTGAAAGGAACCTAGCACGCAACTATCAGAATGGAAACCTTCATGTTTTAAGCGAGTCATGATTAATAGAAAATTTACTATTGTATGATACCTCTTAATGATCTACATGAAAGATTTTAGGGTACTGTGGTTCCTTTCTCTATTGGTTTGCTATAAATGGCATGAAGGAGGTTTTTTTAACCAGAGAAAAATGACAAATTCCTTAGGGAAGCTTGTGGAAATTTTAGCATACAAGCTTTTCAGAAATAATCTTGAAATGTAGTTGGGAGACTGTGATAGGTAGGTGGGATGAATCCTTGTATAACATAAATAATTTCATGTATTTCTTGTTTGCTTTGCAACGTTTCTATTTTGATGGGAGACTTCTTTAATGTTTATATGCTTTGCTGCTGCCAGCTGGCTGACTGTTCCTTGGTTATCTATTACTTAATAGTTTTTTCAGGTACTTGTTTTAGTTGCATCTGGATGATAATGTTACTTTTTAGTGAGATGTAACTAGTTAATGAAATCATAAAATGTTACTCTTCCTCGTACCTGAAAAATGTATGTGAAATGTCTCTAAGTTTTCATTTAAATCCTTAAAGCAATAGCTGACAGACTGGGGGTTTTTTTCCTATTTGAATATATGTGGAACCCTGTAGGTTACTAGTTAATTTACTGTTTTCTTTTTCTTTTTTTTTTTTTTTCATTATCTCACTAGGATAATCTTTTCTTCCTGGGTCGTGACAGATCATTACCTGTTTGTGTTCAATGGGACGACGAATTCACTTTGTTGTTGACCCTCAGGGCTGGTGCTGCATGGGCTTGATTATCTTCGTCTGGCTGTACAATACTATCTTCATTCCAAAAGTCATCCTTTTTCCTCACTATGAAGAAGGACATATTTCAGCCATGGCAATTTTGTGTAAGTCAATTTAACTTAGCCCTTTTTTCTACTAGTAAAAATAGTATCTTTGGGCAGTAGTTAACATATATGAGAAAGGTCAAGAAAATAAAAAATAAGATGAAGGATAAGGTAAAGGATAAGAGTACTAGGATGCATGCTACATTTTTGTGTTCTAAGAAGTTGAGACACTTTATTCATTTCAGAGGTGTTAGGTAAAACTTGTTTGTGTAGAAACTGGGGAAGAGCATTAATATGGCTTTCCGATCCTGTAGCTAGAACTTGGTGACAGAATTTCATGCCCACAGCTCTTAGTGCTTGTCAGAATTTGGTGTGGAAGTACTGATGGTTGACAAACTGAGTTTGGCCAGTTTTGTCGTATGTGAGCTAATGTGAATTATGCACATAGGTTTTGCTGGGGAAAAGGCATGAATTTTAAGTGGAACGAGCTTTACAGTGAAGATGGACCATTGGGAATGTCCTTTCACATAGAGACTCTGAGGTGTAGAATTATTGGTGCTTGTTTGGTAAAACAGTGGAGGAACTTCCTAAATGCAGTGGTAAGGTCATAGTGGCATCCTGCTGGTGCTATCAAAACAGTGTTCTCTAGTACCTTTTCCTCCTGCTTTTTCAGACTGGGGACTACTTAATATTGTATGCTGTACAGTACCAAAAATATGTCTGGAATTGAATGAGAAGGCTGAGTAATTTCAAACTCAGTGCTGGAGCATCTATATTTTTGATGCAGTGTATAGTAGATATTTTGTACATCTGAAAAAGACTAACAAATGCTTATTTATTTTTTCAGGTTATTACTTCTGCTCATTGTTTTGTATAGCTTCATTACTAAGAGCCTCAGTAGCTGATCCAGGAAAGCTACCTGAAAACCCAAAGATACCAATTACAGGTACATTAAGTTGCTTCCATGTAATTGAAAAAAAATTATTTTATTGTCCTCAAAATAATTAGGAATCAATTCGATTTTGTGAGATTTGACGGAAACCATGAGCTGTCTCTGCTGAAGGATATATTGTGAATGAAATTAAAATTGGTATGTCACTGTCTTTAAATTGTAAATTTCTAGAACTTTCCCTTGTGTAGACTCAAAACTTCTTTTTCAAAACTTGTTCTGCTAGGAAATTTTTCCATGGGAAGATTTTTGTACATTCTAGGCTTTCAAACATATTGCATATACTTCTAACTTGATAATATTTAATAAAAAATGTTTAGAGGTAGTTAGTCATTAAAATTCTACTTTTTCTGATTAAATTTGCAAGATGTTAAAAGTGATGGTAGAAGGTACTCTTCTTCGGGATTTTACCTGTGCATTTTTTACAACTTTTTTTTCAGTGACTTATGTTTGTGTGGGCTGTTAACCAATGAAGTGTGATGCTAATTACATTGTGTTGCTGCAGAATAGCAACTTAACATGTTGAGAATTCCCTTCTGTCCTTATGAATTTATCCCACAATTCCTGTATGGTGTCCAATGCTCCAGAAATTGGAGGAAATTTGAAACCTTGATAATTCTCCACAGAGAAAGCCAATATTTTTATGAACTGTTTGATACTATTAAGGTGTTTTTCTAATGCATAGAGCTTTTACATAGCAGGTTAGAGTGGAGTAGGGCTATTAAACAGCATGAGCTTTGTCATGTTAACAGTAAGTACTTTTTGAATGTAGAAAATGTATCAAATGCAGCAAGGGGTGAATATTTCAGTCTTGTCTTGCAACGTGGTGGATGCCAGGAGTAACATTTTGCACTGACTTCCTGATGTTAGTGACAATCTGGGGTGATGCGTTTAGAAACATGATCTGTTTAGCCTCAGCACTGATGTTACAATGTGCACGAAGGAGGCAGCAGTAGGAAGAAGGGATTCAGATGTGAATTGCAGAAAATCTCATGTCTGTGTTCTTTCTGTTACTGGTAACTGAGCTTTTGACCCAGCAAAATGAAAGGTCTCTCAGACTTGGGTTGTTGCTGCAGGAAGAACAACATGGATTCTGCAACCTGAACTGGAGAATGAAAATCACATTTATGACTGAATGTTCATTTACCTGCAAAATACCAGGATCACTACAAATTCCCTTTGTGCACAAATGTTTCTTTCTCTTTTAAGGGATGCCTTTGAATAGCTCTCCAATCTCTTCATGCTCCATTCATTTCATATGGCAATGATACTTTATAGATACTTCTGAAGATGGAACGCTTGGGCTTGACTGTGACAGTGATTTGGTGTGTGCTATATGAGGGGTTTTGTACTTTCTAAAGTAGCACTTCAATTCTCCGGTATTCTCTAGGTTGACAGGAAGATACATTTTTGCATGGTATAAATTGTATTCAAAAATGAGGTTGGGATGTTTCTGAACTCTGCTGGTAGCTACCCTATTAGGGAGTGACACCTTTGTGACACTGGATTTATAGGAACAGATTGTAAATCAGTTTCCATCTGGCATTATTACTAGTTTAATAATCTCAGATATTGGGTTTCTTTAGTTCCACTGTCCAAATGTTATTTTGCAGCAAGACATGATTAAAGCTGCCAGCAGGTGGCTCAGAAGTGCTGAATTTATTTTGCTTACATAGGGACAATGCTTTACTGAATAAAATTTCAGAATGCCCTCTAAAAATTAAGCTTATTTTTTTTCCACTGGGATTTAAGAAATTTATTTGCATCAAAAAAGTTCTATTTAGGTAGAAACAACCAGTCAAAGTATTTAAGATTCTCCATCATGCACCTATTTTTTTTAAAGACGGAAAACATATACTTCTGTGAATGGAGGTATTAACAGTGTTGGTATGATTTGTTTCCCATGTGAAGATGAAATTTCTGAATATATAATTTGAATTCTCATATTCAAAGGCTTCCCTAATTTGGGTGGCGCAATTTGAGATAATAGCTAAGCTGAGCAATAGCAACTCCTGGTAGTTTCAGCTACTCAGTATGTCTGGAGATCACCTTAAAGAATCTCACATTGGGCATCCAAAAATACAAGCCTATCTTCTATCTGTTCTTTGGTTGCCGTATGTGTAAAATTGCATGTTGTGAGAAGTATGTCTTAAAATGCTTTGAGATGGAAGATGCTCCTGAAGCGTTCGTTGTGTGTTTTATTTTGGTTAGCTAGCTTTGACAAATTCGAATAGCAGTGTTTCCTCAGGAGGTTTTGGAATCAATGGGAGGAAGATTGTATGATGGTTGTGTCTAGCAGATACATTTTTTCACAGCAGACATATAAGAAAATAATTGAAATATGTGACAGCTTTTGTGCTGTAATAATTACTCCCTAGAAATACAATAGAAGGAGAGAGGATTTTGGAGAAGAAAACTGGCACAGAGTGCCAGTAGTATCTTCCAGTTTAATTAAGGTGACAGTGGCGAAAAAAGTTTTTTATATGCTGCTAACCCTTCGCAGATCGTAGTAAGAATTTTTTTTCTCCTTGAATCACTAGCATATTGATTCACCATGGGTGTGCTGTACTGAGTTTAAACCTCTCAAATCTGTCTTTACTTTTTCACCTAGAAAGAGAATATTGGGAACTATGTAACAAATGCAATATGATGAGACCAAAGCGTTCACACCATTGTAGTCGTTGTGGACATTGTGTGAGGAGGATGGATCACCACTGTCCATGGTAAGACTAGGACATTTGTTCTAAGAATCTACTATTGCTTCAGTGAAGCATTTCAAAGTTCATGATCTTGACTATTGCTCATTTGTCATATTTCTTTCCCAGTAGTGCTTAATCATTTAGGCATGTAGAGCAGGGAAGAAACAGGTTTGAGACTTTCTTATGTCTACAAGTAAAACTGACAGTAAGAACTGTTGCAGTGTAACATCTAATCATAGTCAATCTGTTGTATGCCATATAGTTTTAGAACATTCATATATTTTGTTTAAAGAATTGGAATTTTTACTCCTAAAACTGATCCCAACGTAATTAATTTGCACATGGCAAATTTATTTCATTTGTTGCCATTTAGTTTCTGATGCTGGAAAAAAAAATAGTGAGAAATTAAACAGTATTTGCGTTTCTTGGATTGAAGTAAAAGGTTACCATTTCACTATAGGAGGGGGTGCTCTTTATAATAATAAAATTAGGTCATGGCTTTTAGACAGTTTTTGGGTTTTAGTTTACTGAATGGCTGTGCTGAGTAGAAAATGTTGACTCATACCATGCCCCACTTGTCATAGCCTCTCTGATTTTGTAGTGAAATTGCTTGTTTTACTATTCTCTGACTGGTTTCAGTCAAAATGAACTAATCTGGCTAAAATTCTCTATGTAAACTGGTTTTTAGTACTTTAAAATGAAAATAAACATTCCTGTCAGTAGTTCTGAGGTATCATTTCCAGCAAGACAGCAATGATGAACTGCAGAGGACAGAATTGACAACAGAATCCTCCTATGTTGATTTAGCCATTTTTCAAATACCCTTTTTGTCAATTGTTACTTCAGCAAATAATGCCAGCATAGTGCTTTTGTCATTACGGCTTAGTTTGGTACTGATGTCTGTGCCAATGCCTCATGAAATTGCACCCCAACCACATTTTTTGCATCGATATAACTTATGTGAAGCAGACTAGACCTAGATTTCAAAGGTTTTGAATCTTGTACTTAATATTTCTAGAATCCTTGTAATTCCTTTACTCCTGTTGGAGTATGCAGAAGGAGTTTCTGAACAGAGATGCCTGTTCTGTCTTCTGTGTCTTAGGTTCCTTCCCAGTTCATGCTTATTTGTCATTGGGGTACCCTGTGATCACATTTATTTCAAACCATTCATTTGCATTTCCAGTTTTGGGATGCCACATTGTTCACAATCAGTATTATCTTTAGCAGAAGATAATACGTATTACTGTGGAATTTTGCAGAGTTTTAAAAAATAATTTGGTTACTTGAGTATTACTTAAAATTGTAGTACTATCTTTGCTACATAAAGATACAGAGAAATATGTCTCCTATTCTAAGCAGTAATCTCAGTAATGCATCCTACACTTCAAGTGGCAGTGTAAGGAAACCACTCCTTACAGTAACTGCCATCTCTGACATAGAGACCATCACTTTAAGAATGGTGTGGTTACTCAGTAGTTCTTAAATAAATAGCTCCATAAATAATCAAATTCTCTTATTCACATTATCATAACTACAGTGTTTAAGTCTTTATATTTCTGTCTTTATATATACTTTGTTTCTTTGCAGGATTAATAATTGTGTTGGTGAAGACAATCATTGGCTGTTTTTACAGCTGTGTTTCTACACTCAGATCCTTAGTTCCTATACACTGATACTTGATTTCTGCCATTATTACTACTTTTTGCCTCTGAAAAAAGAAAACTGGGTAAGAATCTGTTTTCTCTACAAAGTGAATAAATATCTAGTAATGCAACATAACTTAATTTGATGTTTAGTTACTACATGTTTCTGCTGGCTTGCTTGTTGACAGTGAAGAGGTTGGAACTAGATGATTTTTAAGGTCCTTTCCAATCCAAACCATTCTATGATTCTATGTGTGTTATCAAGTGAGCAAACTGATTTATGGTAAGTAACAAAATACTCTTCTTAAAGGGTATATGATTTCTATGTGTTAAAAACAGGTTAGTTTTCTTAGGAATCTAGGAAAGGATGACAGAACCAGTTAGGTTCCTTTAGAAGTGATTAGTGAATACTGGGAAGAAGCAAGGAAACTACTTTACGTGTATTCAAATTTCTTTCTGCTTTCTCCAAAGTAAATTTATGCAGAGTATATATTTTCTATCCTAAGTCCCTATTTAAAAATGCTGATATCACCAGAAAAAGAAGAAAAAGCATACTATCATTCTGAAATAAGAAAAATATACATTGGTTTTGAAGCAGTATTTTGTGTTGCTTTGAAAATGTCGTTTGGGTTAAGGGAGAATTAAGTTTGGTTTGTTTTACTTGGACTCTATGCCATTACCATATTTCAACATCTTGTCATTGGGAAAATGCAGTTGAACACTTAAACAGAAAAAATAGACCTACACATTGGAATAGAGTAAAAAATTATGGAATTTCTTCCATTATGGAATTGAAGTTGTAAAGTCTCTGTGGTGCTCATTTATGTCTATTATCTGTAATGTTCAGAATATTCAAGAGGTTTGCTTGAAAGTTGCTGAATGCTTGAAAGTCCTAGAAGAGCAAAGCTGATACTATTTCTTTTGAAGCACATGATATGAGATCTTGCTCATAAAGAAACATAAAAACTTCTACCCAAAATCTGAAATGGACCTTGTATTTGTACTGGACTATAACAAATACAAGCGCACTAAAGAGAAAAACCTAGAAAACAAGTTTAAGATATATTTACAATTAGAAAACATTCCAGATGTCCTAAGTGAAGAGACTAAGACCATCCCAGAAATTAGTAGTGTACTCTAAATTTTGTTGAGATTTTTTCCAAGTACTGAAATGCTGCAGATTTTTTATTCCACATTGATGTGACACCCCAACATACTCTCTGCTGGTGATGTTGCACTGATCTTTCAAGGCTACTGGAGACTGGCCTTTGGTTATGGGTAAGGCAAGGCCCGTTCTCCATTTTGTTGAACAACTGAAGTTCGTTATATGATTTTATATCCTAAAAGGTATAAAATAAGAATATGAAACTTCCTGTAAAATTCTGCTTCTGGAAAAGAATGGGGCATAGCCTTCCCAGCTTCGTATTTGATCCCATATCAGTACGCAGTGGATGTGATGTTCCCAAGAAAGCGTATGTGAAAATGATGTGTCAAAGGAGAGCTGAAAATGTAGGAAGACTGTACTCCTTGGATCATCCAGAATTGATAAAAGGGTTATATTCAAGTTGATATATACCAACTTTTTATTATATGGACTGTACCAAAGTTGAGGATTTTTGCAAATCTTTCTTAAAATAATTTCTATTCTAAAGGAATTTAATTTTTTATTTTTTTAACCTTTATGAATATTTCCATTTAAATGGTTTAAGGGACTCTATAAATATGGAAAAGACAACAATTTGCTGTCTGCTTGGAGCATCTTTCGATAGACACTGCCCTGTAAACTGAGCCAAGCTTATAAAATGGCATAGTCACATTTTTCACTTTCTATCCAGTTTGTTGCAGATGGGCTTTCCGTATTCACCTTTTTTTGACAGGCATTGTGAGATTTGAGGGAGCTATTTTTATTTGTTGTAGCTGCATTCAAGTTAAAAAGTATATGAAATTGCAATCTTTCTGTATTAGTGAAGAAGTCTGTTGTCTAAGTAAAATTTCTTATGAATGTGTTACATTTTGGGTTTTTGGAAAGTTAATGTTTTTGAAAGGTAACTAAATGTAAATGCCTTTGCTTCTAGTTTCAGTAGCTTTGTAAAGTTCTTTGCAATTTCTAGACTCAATTAAACCCACTACATTTCTGGACAGAGTAACCTTATACTTTCTGTATTCTGAAGGCTTCCCGTGCACAGGGTTGACAGGAGGTTCAAGCGCAGAGGCTTCTCAGTGATACTGATCTGAATACTGGATGGGGTATTGCAATGCTTCCAGAAAAAGTGTTATTTTCCAAAGATAAAATCTTTTATGAAATTGGTGGTGCTTCTCTAATAGTGTAGTTTCATGATAGATTATTTCCTTTTTATCATGAGAGTCTGCTGAATGTTGTAACTTACTTTAAGTAACTACACTGTGTCTAGGTAATAAACCCAAGTTGTGTTTGTTAGCCTTGCTTTTTAAAAGCAGTATGAAAGGGAACCAAATTATTTGCCTGGAGATGGTCTGTGCAAGAGAGGAAAAGGGAAATCATATTTATTTCAGACAATTTACAACCTCTAAAGAGGTAATAATAAATAGTTATTAATAATAGTTCAAGAAATTAATACATGTAAAACTTTGTTCTTGATGGTTTAACTGGGCTAATTTCAAGTCTTTTGGAGAGAGGCCTACTTTTCATATCTACTCTTTAGAAGATGTGACAGGTTAGGAGGCAGAATACCTATGCAGTAATTATTTTAACCCGGTTTAATGTAGTTGCCTGAAGGTTCTCATGTTTGGCTGCCTAAATTTACACAGTGTCATAGAAAAAACAGAGTACTTTGTTCTGATTAGTTTTGTTTTGTATTAGCTGGGGGTTTTGGCTTTATCAATTTGCATATGTGGACACTTCAAATGACTCTCTTCCTTTTGAAAAACTGGATCTGTGTTATAGTATATAACATTTTGTGCCCCCAATATGTTTATACTGTATAGAAAAACTTAGTAGGCACAGTAGGTCTGGTCTGTTCCGAGCTTAGTTAAGTCTAGTATTACACTCAGTAGCATTTAGCTTTCTCAGGTTTTTCAGCTGCAGGATCGGGGGGCACACACTGAAGTACAGAAAACTAAGAATAATTTGTCTGGGTGTCTAGTCAATATATCTGCCTGGAAGATGACATCAAAGCCCCATTAAGCTGATTTTTTAAAGTGGTGCTAAGAGTATAATGCCATAGAACTTTGTGCCACAGAATAATTTGTCAGAATTACGTAATTTTGACATCAAATGAACAGGACCAGTGAGAAGATTTGCTTATTATTAGTTAGGTTTTTAGGCAAGCATCCTGCAAGATTCTTTTAGTCTTTGTATCAATTAAAGCTGAAGTACCACAACATTGCAGAGACCACAGTACCTTCTGTCTTTCACGGAAGTGCTATTCTTTGTCAAAATTTTTCCTGTAACCTGCAGCTTACATTGGCTGAATTGACAGGGGCTAGTGTTTAGCACAGATTCAAAAAAATGGATAATTTTTTCTAAACAGCCATCTGGAATTAGCTTACTTCCTGCTCATTAAAAATACTTGTGAATTTTTTGGTGGTATGCCCTCATCTTAATTTTTATTCTTTGGATTTAAAATAGTACATAACACAGAAGCTGTAGAATTAAAATTGCTTTTAATGTATTATGAAATAATAATTTTATCACTGTACTCATTAATGCATTATGAAAATATGAACACTGTATGCATGTTAGTATTTCCTTCTGAATGAAAATTTGTGGGTTTATTTTTAAAGGGTTAAGTAAGAAAAACCTGAACATTTTTAATTACGTAAGGTAAGGGTGATAGCTTTCAAGCCTATGGAGGAAGCTATTTTCGATAGACATACAATCTTTCAGCTTCAGGTCTTACAGCAGAAAATTGCTTCATAGTATTCTTGGCTCTTGGAATTGATATGCTGTCAGAAAGATGGTTTGTGGTTATTGCTTCTGTTTGTCCAGCAGGAGGAGTACAATTACTGCTAGAAATGAAGGAAATGTTAATTAAATTGTCTATGTGAGCTCTTAGCAGAGAAAAAAATATATATATACTTTGAATAAAACAGCATATGAGTTCCTCTGCTAGCTTTGGTGATTTTCAGAGGCTAGGACTGGAACGTTCTTAATTTTGCATCTTCATTAAAAACATCAAGGTCCGGAAGTCTGTATCTTTTAGGAAGTATTCAGTCTTGTGGATAGTGAGATGAGAAAAATAAATACTAGTCTTCTCATGACTACATAGTTGCTCTCTACATGGCTGTGTTAGCAGAGATTCTAGACACAGCTGCTGAAGTAGAAGCAAAAATAAATGCTTTGGCAGTATATTTTACCTGATTCATAGAAGGCTTTTAATCTTTTCAGCAAAAGAAGTTTTGCTGATACATTCTATTTGCTAGACATGTTTTCTTAGAATGATTGTCATAGCAGAAACTACTGAAGTATAAAAACCTAAACCCCTGTGTGCTGGTTTAGTTGTATTTTGTTGCTGGTTCTGCAGTTATCCCTTGTATATTATGAAAATATTGTTACTTAGTGAATTTTTAAAATATTCTGAGCTCTATTGGTGGAGCGAGGAGGAAACATCATGGAGAGCCTGCTCTATCTGGGACTCAGCTTTCTCAATTCCAAATAAAAGGTGTTGGGAAAGATTCATTAGACTTTGTAAGAAGATTATTTACAGCAATATTTATTTTCATATTATGTATTAACTAATATTAATTAAAATCTGGAAATATGTCTCATGCAAAGTTGATTTGTATTGTAAAGAGAATCTAAAGGAAACCTCTTCTCTTAGGATCATGAAATGACCTACAGGATGTGCAAGTTTTTAAAAAAATGAAAGTACATTAAAATTTTCCTTCTCGCTGCTCTGCAAAACTGACCTAACCCTGCTTTCCTCCTGTATAAATATAAGGGAATGTATATGAATATTGAATTAAGCTTAGAAAGTAAATACATAGTCTGCAGAGAAAAGATGGGAACGGCTGAGGGGATAACATTTTGTTTAAACTTAATGTATTGATAGTGTCATGTGAAGGTTGTATGGCCTTTTCTTAAAATCTGTTCTAGTCTGAAATTATTTCAGAATGCTCATTTTGGATTGAACTCTGTGTAGACAATAATTTTTGGAATCGAGTGCTATTCCCATTTTCACCTTAAACCAAATCAGTCATGAATCAGACTTTGGAAAATTACTCTTTTAGTAGACCTGAAATATTCCTGAATCATAAAGTGCTTTACATAAACATTGGTTGTTATTAATAATAAATATCTCTACAAAAGGGCTTATTAGAATGCAGCTTGTGTTATGTGAATTAATTTTTTTTATTTTTTTTTTTAACATGAGTGAATTTTCTCCCTTGTACCTCTCCACCCTCTTTCTTCCTGCTAAACCTGCAGTCTGTATTTTTTACTTGGCTTTTTTGAATCCGACAGCCTGGCTTTGTTCTGTATTCTACACTGTTTTTATGATAGCCAAGTTGATAGACTGACTTCATCACCAGACTGGAACAGACATCCTGAGGATTTGCAACTGAGAATAGACAAGCAGGTTAGCATGTGTTACATGAGGTATCCCTTCCCCAAGAGAAAGATGAAGTAGCTTAATATATTTTGTTAGTATATTAATTTCTGTGTTTATCATATTTCAGTAAAGAATCAAGATTGAATAAATGAATTCTCGCATTGTAAATGATAATTTTATGAAGGTTGTTTTTCACTTTGTCTCTTCTGGAACATACACAATAGTCC